TTTAAATGGAGCAGTAGATACATATAACAGACAGGTATTGTTTGGCAAGGTTACAAATTCCAACTACGGCTCGGAATTAATCAAACCTGTTCTGCAAAGTTGAGCATACAGGAAAAGGTTGAAAACGTTCGGAGCAATTAACTGCGACCGCCTGGCCGTAGATCAACAACTATTTCTCTCTCTGCACGGTTTTAATCATCCAGAGATGAAAATTTTTTTTCAGTTAATAAGCATCTACGTTCACGCTGCGAATACACGTACAGCGTCGTTCTATCGAAGACCGTCTGTTTAAATAAATTCTATTAACTCCCAACGTTTCTACTTAATCTATTAATTGATCTATAGAAACGATATCAGTCGCGTGAATCACATAGCACACGCCCACGTATTACGCGTGTTCGCTAACTTGATAACGATTCGAAATGGCGATAGGTACTTGCAATCATGTGCTCGAACGTGACATCGTCCACGCATTATCGGCGCGACGCTTCTTATCGGTTCGCAAAATTACCAACGATATTATTTTGTTCGTACTATCTAACGTAGCTCAGCTGACTTCCTGTCGCAGCTGCGAAATACGTTACACTTTTAGGCGAGTTCAATTTTGTTACGAGAGCTCGTCAGCGGGCATTCAATGGCTCTCGCTCCTCAACCGTGTAGTCCCTTTTTCGAGTCACGTTTCCCTCGGACTGTATCTCGGATATTTCACGTGACTTTTTATCAATGGGTCGAGATTTCAAGATTTAATACCAATTGACGCACTAGATTCTATTATCTGTTATCGCGAATTGATCGACTCGTTAAGTATTCACGTTTTGTACTTTGTCCGTCCAATAGTAAACAAGATGATGTATCGATTAGTTTCGGAAAAATGTATCGAATTATAAACTGGCAAGATTGAGCAAGTGTTGCGTCTTCTACTCGAGATTTCCACGATAGCTCGTCGTTTATCAAGCGCAAGGATAGAAAACTCGAGCGGCAGATATACCTAACGAACGCGAATCGGAATATCTTCCGCTCGCAACGAAACGAACTCGGCGAACAAAGGAATTCGCACCACCGCGGCAAGACAGGTGCAAAACTAATCACGCTGCGATCACGCGAGCGAGTAGGAAATAAAAAAAAAAAAGAAAAACAACCAAAGAGACGAACAAGCGAGCGATGTTGCACAACAAACGATCAAATTCGTTCATCGCGTGCCGCGTTAACAATGCATTTTGTTCCAAATTAGTCGTAGCTCCTTCCATTTCCTCTGTCACAATCCGTAATGCTCCGTGCCATTTCGCATCCTGGTTTTTTCATTGTTTCACGTTCAAACGAAAAATAATTGGCGCTGTCATGTGTTAACTAAATACTTTTAAATGACGGCAGTTCGATCATCGATGATGGACGTGGCTGATCTTCGTTTCACGAATGGCCAAGCATTCTAATAGATCAACAGAATCCACGTGGGACGACTGAACCGACGAAAATTTAAGTAATGAGATATCCGAGATGAATTTATATAACGTATTTCTCGAATCTATTGGCATTCGCGCAGGACTGAACTCGACAGCCTAGGTAAATTTTGCTCGACGATCCCAGAGCGGGGCGCTGCAATTAGAAGATGAATAGGATCCGGGGTGTCCACACGCGATATGTTTTCTAAAATCGTCGAAAATACCGGTGTTTGTCTTGCGGTATTTGTACTCCGCGCGGAGGAGGTAATTCGAGGCGTTTGTGTGCGCGGGTATGTGGAAACCACAGGGAGCATGGATAACCCGAGGTGTCCGGCGGGCTTGTAACAGGGCGAGGAGGAGAGAAATTTCCGAGTAAATTAGAGTTGAAGGAACGTAGAATTCACGTGTTTACGATACGAATACTGGATACGAGTATCTTTCGAGCGAGTGACCGCGTAGTTTGTTAATTAACTTACAGCCCGGATCGCCGGGCCGGATAACTCGCGAACGAGGTCAAACGTTCGATGAAAGGAGGATGAAAGTTGATTCAATTCGACGCCGGAAGTAGTTCCTCTGTCGAACGTCCGAGCGGGAGAAATTCCGGCGTGGAGATATGAAATTGAAGGAAAATGGAACGGAGGAACGTCCAAAACGTTACGTTTCGCGTTTCCCATGGAATTTGTTTTTAGTTTCAACTTAATTAAACTTTCTTAATGGTATTCTAAGTCCGACGAAACTTTTCATTTAATTCATCGCCCGTTCCTGTTTACGCAATTAAACATCTTCGTTCGAGCGGGCGACGGACAGGACGCGATAGGACGGCATGGAATGAGACAGGATTGGCAAGATGGAAAGGACTCCTCTCTGATTTCATCCCCGCTGTTTTCAAAAAGATAAAACTTCTTAGATCTACGTCGGACCCATACATCTCTAAATCGTATTCTCTCGTTGATGACATTCGCGCGTAAGCGTTAAAAAACGGCGGTCATTCATCACTCGATTCGACGATATCTTTAACCGACCGTGTTTCCGTTTGCGTAACCGAGTATTTATCGTTACGGCTGTTTACTCGAAACCGACAAGAATGGAAAAATCGTTCGCCGTTCGACAATAGGCCTGTTTGCACACATAAACGTCAGTTCCTCTGTTCGAGCATTAGAACGATCATAAAACTATAGAAGCACGAAATACGTTTAAAACAAATTCTCTGGCCTGTATCGCGTTTTCCTGTAATTTTCCATTTACATTTTAGATACGCAAAGCCCGCGCAAAAACAATATTTCATCGTAATTGTGTCGCCTCGCATTACATATTTATATTTGTTAATTACACCTATTTTTTTGTTCATCTGTATTTACGACCCTCGTTCGCGCTTATTTTACTCTTTCATATATCACGCAGATACATTTGTATAATGTAACGTGCCCATAGTTTTCCTTTTTCGGTAAATACACGAGTTTTCCGTCGGAATTGGAGAAAAAAGTGGAACGGTTTTTATTAATTTCTTCGGCTATGATTCATCAGCCGGGCCACGCGTATGCACGGTGCGATTTCGATATTCCGTTACAAGCGCAAATATTTGTCTGTAAACGCTACTCCCCTTGCCGATTGTTGCTCCCTGTTCCCGCTTTGTACCTCGAACCCTGACTGCACTGTTACGTTTCCAACGCGATACCCGTTGTGTGTTCGTACGACCCTATGCCTGCCGACCCTATCCCATCAATCCTTGTAGCCGGGTCAAGGATCGTCTTTCATTGAAACGTTGTACAACCATTTTCTCAACAAAGAAAATTTCATGCGCTATACGAATTGAGATCGACGATATTTTTTTAAGGAGTCACCACAGTTATTTCAAGACTCCTCTGGTTATTTAAAGGAAGGAGGTAATTTCTGGAGGACGCAATTAGAGCCGGCGACTTATAAAAGCGTTTCGGCACTTCATCCTTGTTAAGTGTTCGTACACAGACCTCGCTAAAGTATCCTGGGAGTCGGGGCGGCGTGTTTTTTTTAATAAACAGCCAGCCAGCCTTTTAGTAACGAGTAGTCTCCCTGTAAAATTTGACAGCGACTTATTTCTCCCGCGGAACGGGCGGCTCGTTTTTTCGCCGTTCCCAATTAAGAAACTAATTGGAAGTCGCTTTGGCGACTTAGCGCGACTTAAGCAAGCACGCGAAGACCCGCGGCGGTTAATTACATGCCGCGCGATAGAAAAGAACGGGATCAAAGGAGCCCGTTCCGTCTTTGATTTAAGAAAATCCACGCGATGCCTCGCACGCAAATCTTTGTCGTGGCGGAATCGCGATTTTCTTTAACTTTGAGAGCTCGAATGCCGAGCGAAAAATAAACGAACGTGCCAAAAGCAGGGATGTTCTTGGGAGATAAGCTCAGAAATTTTTGCATAATGCAAATCGAGACTCGAATCATTTTGCCTTCTCGGTTTTTAAAAAAGAATAATATTCGTTGGACATTAAAGGCGTAAGACGATTCTTGTAAATCGTAACGCCAGTGTTTAAAAATGTTAAACCAAAGGTTGAATATCTCGGCCAAAGTACGGAGCACGTTTTCTACGGAAGAGCATTGCGATCTCTCCCGTGGGAGCAACGCTGCAACCGGCAGAATCTCGCCGCGGGAAGTTCGTTTCAGTCGTAAACCTGTTTCCAACATTGTAGAAGCGAAACGCATCCTCGCGAAGCGAAGCGGTAAACAGCCGAAGGAAGAGGCTTCGGCTCGCGTCTCGGCCACTGTCCGCTATAACGCGACGATGGCGATTATTTTTAACACGGGGCTGGGTTGGCGTCGATCTTGAACCTCGATCGTTCGCCAGCTGACCAATACTTGATCTCGTTTTCGATTCAAAATTAATAGAAAGGTCATCTCTCGAGATAATTTCAAACGCAAAATATATGGAAGGACTGCGTTAATTCCAAACGTTCCACAGACTCTATGAATTTCATGGGAAGCAGGTGTAACTTTTCGAGTTCGTAATCGACGCAAATCAAATTTGCTGTGCGGTCCGCGACGTTAAATTTTCCACTTTCCGCTAACTCCGACGCGTCACCGAAATTGAAACTAACGTCGGTTCCCGGCCGAATGGTCGAAATTTGCATTTCGCCTTTTCTCCGGCGCGATGTTTCCCTAATCTAAATATAAACGCGAGCGACGGTCTCGCGGGCGATGAAAACAAGCGAAAAGAACGAGCGTCGATTCCTCATACGACACGAGGCCTCCAGGAAAGAAAATCACGCGATGGAAATAATCGGAGCGGCCTCAAATCGGCACCGTTCTCCACCAAGCTAATGGCTAATATCCGAGCGTTTCCTCTCTCGGGACTCGTGTCTACCAATCGAACGAATCTGCGAGTATAATGAGATCCGTGGGTTTGTTCGTTTTGTCCCGAGACGACAAACGGTTTAACACGTGGTTCAAATGGCTAGACATTTACGTACAGAAACGATTTTAAATAATCGCAATAAAAGTGACGCGTCACCGGTTCGTAGGTACAGCATCGATCGGTTCCTTTTCAAATACTTAGCTAGGTAGCTTGAGAGAAATGAAACTCACTTTCGCAGTCTCCTTGCAAGTTCAGCGATATTTCCTCGCGGGCTCTCTCATTCCCCAGACCCGGTCCAGCATCAATTCAACTCTTGGGCGCCCACGGCGAATTCGTCGACAAGTTGACGAAATGGTATCCCCCGCGGCGGTGGTTTCTACCCGGAAACAGAAAGGAAATAGACTCGGTGATCGATTTGCCGGCGCGATTTTAAGTTTCGAACTGCTCGTACTCGACGGCTAGGAGACGCGACCGGGTCGGTTCCTAATCGCCAACTGCGACCTTCGCGAACTTCCACTTTCTCTTAGACGCATTTCGGCGGGATTAGGCGAGTCGCGAGGAGACGGCTACTGCCTGCGTGCCTGCCAGTGCCCGGACCGTGGAACGAGGCACAGAAAACGAAGGAAAAGAACCGAGGGACGGGCAGAGAGCAGCAAAACGAAGGAAACGTTTAGTCGGCGGAGGGAACGAGGATCTTGGTCGCCGATGGAATAGAAGAGGAAGAAGAAGACGCTCGACTCGTTCTCGTCAATTCACTCAACCAGATGCAGCGAGTGTGTGCGCTTCGCTCGAGCAGTGTCACAGACGCGAGTTCGATCGGAAAACAGTTTCAGCTGACAATAGCCTGAGACACGGAAAAACGTTCGGCTCGGTTTCTCCGTTGCAGAATCGAGCCGTTCGCTAATAAACGATGATACGAATCGTGGGAAGATTAAGTTGTATGGATTCGTGCGAAACTCCGCTCGGTCGCTGGTCAGTCGATTCCCATTAAGCTAATAATGGCATTGCCGTTTCCGGCGAGGCGCGAGTGCGCCGGGCTCAAGAAGTTTGGAATGCTCGGAGACTTCTCGCTCTCAGCTTCTACATATATGCACGAGCAGTGGAAGGTGTCCGGGTCATTCGAAACTGGTCGAGTCGCCGATGGCTCGAGAAGATTCTATCCACCTCGCATTCGTGGAAGCGCGCATCTGGTTTTAGAGACGTTCTCTCGGATCATCCTTTTTGTTCCCGTTCGCCTCGTGAAGTTTCTCGAGTCAACGCGCTCGGCCGCGTGGATCGGAACTCGCCGCCCGCCCACGGCACGGCCACGAGTATCGATCGGCCAGCTCGCGTGGAATCGAACCGACTTCCGTTTTTAAAACGGAATACGGTGGAGAGAGGGACGCGATAAGTTTATCGATCGGAACTTACGGCGGCAACGACTCGCTCCCCCGCCCTTCCCTCTGCCGTTGCCAGAAACTCGGAAACCGCGGTCTTATCGAAACGCTCGGTGAGATTCCTTCGACAACTCGGAGAGTCCCTCTCTGGCGTTGCCTCTGTTGGCATGCGAATTTATGAACTGCCGAAATGTTAAACGCGCTCCCCTGCCCCGTTCCCGGAGCCGATCGGAGATCGCGGAACTTCGCTCGAAGTTCTGTTAATCCTTCGTTGTGTCGCAATGACTGACGGCGGCTCTGGTCGCGTACCAAACGCGTTCAACCCTTTTACCTTCAAATTTACACTCTCGCACGTTTGTTAACCCCCCGTCCTTTGTGTCTCAAAACGGGAATGTTTGCCCCTTCAAGCTTCCGATATGCCGCGAACTTTCTTACACAGTTACGTACCTACGAAACGGCGAACGTATCGACGAGGATTCAATGATCGAGACGAGGTCGAAGCCGGGGATTGGTGAATGATCGATGCACGCCGCGTCGCGACAGGTCGTCCTACCGAGGACGATTCGAACCGTGTGCGTACTTGCAAGACGTGCGCCTTGGTCAGTCGGTGACGTAATACTGGGAAGCCGCGAGAGTTCGGATGGTATATTTAAAAAGCAGAAACAGCGATGCGCCGTACGCGGCTGACAGAGTGGCACACTCGCTGCTAACACTATTGGCAACGGCCATCGTGCATCGGAGCACGCCGAAGCACATGCTTTCGGCATGAGTATTGCCTTTATTTCCACGTAGAACGGGTTAAAAATAAACGAAGGTTTGCTCGTTTTTCTCCAACTCCCGTCCTCCTTTGTCCGCGCGATACCGTAAGTAAACGATAATTCGTCGTAATTGACTCAACTGCCGCAAAGTAAATCCTCGACGTCTGTCTTCGGTCTCAAAATAAATTGCGACGAGTTTGTTATACCTCTCCTACGATAAGTTAACGACGTCGTATGGACGTTAAAATGAAATAGCCGAGATTAGAGAAGTATGAATGGAAATTGTGACAAGCAGTGGGTCGAGGTGTCAGAGAGAAATTGATACAGCCGATCGATAATGAGACGAGAGATTGCGCAACGATTAGATTCGATATAAACGCGCCAAACGGGATCGCATGTCTCGAGACAAGAGCACGCTTGTGACACGCGGATGACCGCATAGACTGCAGCGTTAAAAGGAAAAACCAGAAGAGCGCGCCGAGTGATTCGTCGTCTCCTTGTCCGCGAAAATCGAGAACAAAAGAGAGATAATGACACCGGCGACAATATCGCGGATATGCAAATCACGTGAGCCTGATCCGCTTTCGCGCATCCAAGTAAGGTTTTCTTGGCTACACTGAAAGAGTGCCGGAACAATGGTGCAGGTCTGCGAGATCTCGAAATCCGTCAGAACTTCGCCCTCGGTACAATTAAACAATGTACGACGGACGGGAACAATTTAGCAGAGAACGGCTAATGAACAAAACGAGGCACGAATCGTGAACCATGATAAACAACCCTCGGATATCGATACGGATTCTGCGTGCGCGAAACGGGGTAATATAAATCGAAGCTCAAAGGATTAATTGGTATTGTTCTTGGCTCCGTCGTGGAATTTCTGGACGGAGGAGAGAATAACGGTCTGATCGAGAGCCAAAGAGGTAAATCGGGAGCTCGCTCAGATGACTAATGCCCTCGATATTTTAATGCTGATTAATATATGGACAAATGAGCTTGCATATCTGTTCGGTTTTACTTCTGCGAATTTGAGGCAACCGTACAAAATCATTCTTTACAGAGTCAATGCATGCTTTACAGAGTCATTGTCAGGAATGGAAATTCCATTTGCAATATTTGCATATGCATATATACATACATACATGCATCGTATCGATCGCTGTATATACGGTGAGGTCGTAGGAAAAGGAAACGAGATCGAAGGGAGTAAGGGAAGCAGTTGATCTTTGCGACATTGTGTCTCCAGCAGCGGCTTCCCTCTGGGAACGATTCGTCAGGATCACGTCTTGGATCGTGCCCGGGGATCGCGTCGTTTGTTGTGCGCTTCCGATAATAGATGCTCCGCGAGCAATCTAATCGTTGCGGTTGCACGTGCTATCGATTCAGCCGAGCGTAGCTGCCGACCTCCCGAGTTTTTAATCACCGTTCGACGTTTTAATAACCGTTTTTACAATTAATATGATAATATCGATAAGAATCCGGGTTAGTGACCCTCCAGGGAGGGTCTGGAAACCTACATGAAAACGTGCCTAAACCGAAAGTTCCATGTTTGAAACACGAAGTGACAAAATTATAATAATTGGTGAATACGAACTATGTTCACTGTCAATAGGTCAGCGTAATAAAAATTGACATTTCAAATGTTCTTTTAGGAATAGAAATGTCGATAATAATAAAATAATGTTACATAATTTTTTTACTGAGGTGTGGAGTCACTCCCTGGAGGGTCTCTAGTCTCTTATTTATGCACAATGCTTGGTTCGGTAGCTATTATCGTTGAATAAGTCGCAATTCGCTTCTGGAAACTAATAATCGAGGAGGATCAAGTTCTCGGCTATGCGTGACGAACCTCCCAGCTCCGAGAAGTCGTCCAATACGCTAAGAATTATGCAGATAATGTACGTGCGTGCGTGACAAGCGCGAAATTTTCGTTCCCCACTCACCGCTGGAAATGGGTAATCGCGAGCGTGACGACGACGACGCCCGCACCAGCACGTAGCACTTTACTTACACGCGTGTTCACGCTTCGAACGATTCCCCGATTACGTAATCGCGTGAACCTGAACTGATACGGATACACGCAGAGCGATTAGCTAGTGGCAGTCGATAACCTCGTTCAGGTCGTAAACGAACACCTATCGTAATCATTGCGTGATTTTTTTCCCTCGTAATTATAAAAACGATTTCGAGTCGAAATGGTGAACTTTTGGCAAAAAATTTCGTTTTTATAGCCTATACATCCATAACACGTTCCGTGCTACATGTACCATAAATGGTACGCGCAGACATAATAAATTAATGGACTGAGACATGAAATGGCCTGAACGACAAGTCGGGCAAAAATGGCTTGGCACGTGTTAATGGATAACGACTGAAATCTCGAATGGTTCGCAGTAGAAATGATTCAGTCGTAGACCGAGTCGGTTATTCATTGCGCGGAAACGTGACTCGAACGTGAACAGACAGCGGAACGCTAAACAATATTTGTTCAAGACTACGATCGCAGCTGTTAAATCATCGCGCGGCTGGCCGATCCAGCCCGTATAAATCAACTTTCTAAGACCGCGAGGTTTGCTTTTCCCGCGTGCGCTTCTTCGTCGGAACGAATACCGGAATTCCGCGTTGCGCGACAGATACGAGGCTAATCGCGTTAAGACGTTTGACGTCATCCCGCGTCGCGTTCGCGATGAATTACGCCCGGTTTGTCGCCGCCGTCTCACGATCGTCGTCGCATCATTGAACACGCGCGCCGGTAGTCATACGCAGGTGCGCCCGCTCGGGAGCGATGAATTATGCGCCTGTTTCGTAATTCGACGAGATGCGCCGGATAATCGTTCACCCCGCCTTCTTCCGAGCCTCGTCGCTTCCCGTATTCGCGAAATAATGATACCCTGTCAGCCTGCAGATACCCAGATGTACGTGAAATATTTATCAGATCTTTTGGCATTAGCCAGACGTCTGGTCTTGATTAATCTGTTAATGGATCTCTGGAAAGAATAATGCCGACGGAATATCGTAGTCGGCGGTAAAGCCTCTGAGAGGGATTTATCTAGTCGTGGGTGGGCTCCTAGATTTAACCTCTGAAGAATTTCATGCGAATTCTCGTGGCGCCCTCGAGACGAGTAACATCGAGGAAACGATAAACGCGGCTTAAACAAGAGCCGGGCGCGGGCATAAAGCGAGGTCGGGAAAAAAAGGAAACCGCGGAATAGAGTGGCCGTCGTGGGAACACACGAAAACGGAACACTCGAAACGGAACAAGCGCGCGCTGCCAAGAGGCAGACACTCTCCCTTGTGCCGCGCGCTGAAGCCGAGCGCGTACACCGACTTTACGGCCGTTTACATTTGCATTTAATTCAACCACGCGCGTGTCCGCTCGTGCGGCTCGCTGGATCCCGAGCGTTTTCACCGCAGGACTTGCCGGCATCTCGCAACAATTATCACTGTTTTCGATTCGCCGTCCGCGTTTCCGGCTCCAAGGCAGAGATCAGTTCCTGGCACGCGTTTCCCAGCCGTGCTTAACGCCGGAATCGTATCCAGCCAAATCCGCGTGCCAGCGGCAGGAATCGCGCTTAGTGCTACGCGCAATACTATGCTTTTTACAGCTAAGAGGAATTACGAGAAATCAGTTTCAAATGAAGTTTTATAGGACCAATTTCATTCGAATTAAGACAATTCATACATTTTCTTTGCGATTCTTTGACCGTCGGTAGTTTTACCGAATCGGCAATGATAATAATCCAAACCAGCGTTCATATATTTTTTTATTCGGTAAAACTACCGAATCGTTCTAAACACCGCATCGTCTTGACCGACTGTAACGCCATTAAAGTGCTGTTCATTTGGATAGCCACGAATAAGCCATATTACCTTTTTGTAGGAAATTATATTTAACATGAATAAAATAACATGGATTTATAAAATGACAAAGTGCAGAAGTGTTATAAATACTTCTCTCTGGTTTGTCACTAATTAACTCCGACTAAACAGTTGAGAATATTCACGTGAAAACCTAGAAGCTTTTCGTACTTCCAACAGCAACGTATTTTCCAAGTTTCTACACCAATGTAAATTAATGTCACCTACTAATTTGTAATGCAAACGGATCTAACTAATAAACAAGAATTTTCATTAAAATTCCTCTCTCTGACACGAGCTTACATGCACGTTTTACCGAAGGCTATTTAAATGAAGAGAGCACCGCGTGCACATCCTCGGCCACTATTCTTTATTTACTTATCCAATATTCAAGAAGATTTGATACTTCTCGCCCTCTTTCGTTTAAGCGACGGATAAATCTTCGCAAAAGAAGACACTATAAGATACGTTCGCGTATTATATCGTAATTGGTAACACGGAGACGGGCTATATAGCGCGGCGTCCCGGTAAATGTATCGAGTGGTTTCTGTTACCGACATAATTTACAACCCCACGAATCCCCCTTAGCACGTGCTACACGAGGATGCCACCCTTCGACCGAGCCACCCGTCGTCCCCCATTTCGCAACGCACGCACACCGCGACCCGGCTGTGGCCGCGGCCGTGCCCGGCGTCCGTACACGTCACGCCTCATTTTTAATTTCTCACTTTCATTCCGGTACCCTTATTGTCTCGTTTTTATTCATTACCATTTCGCTTTTGGTTCCACGGACCCGTACATTCTTGCCTTTGTTTTATTACTTCTATTCTTTCATTTCGAATTCCTTTTATTTGTTCAGCCTGGCCCGGGTCCCTCAGATTTCATTTCCCCTTCCTCGTTCATTCTCATTTCATCGCACTTTACATTCTGCTTTTCCTCCGATTTTTCGCTTCTCTTTCTCTGTCTCGCACTCTCGTCTCTTGCCACATTTTCTCATTGTTTCGTTTTTTAATTTTTT